CACTATGCTACCAGAGTTCCTTCATTCCCAATAAGCCCCCACAAATGTAGCTTTCAATCTTACCAGGAGAGCAAGGTCTGCCTCTGGGCAGCTCTATGCCCCCACAGACCAGGTGTGACCACTAAACAACTCAGAATCTTAATCTAACCACCCCAGGCTCAGACAATAGATTAGCCAAGGAATTAAGACCTGCCTGATACTCTGATTTCTGGAGAATCACTCAAGTTAGCCAACCCCCTCAAGGCCACCTTCTCAGACCCAGGGCCTGGGTGAGATCATAGGACTCATTGGCCCACTTTGCTGAGAGATTTCATCTAAGTCTCAACACCCACTCTCATTCTTATGCAGATGTGTCCATTGTTGCCGACACAGCGATTATTAACACAACCATCTAAGTGCCTTTTAATTTCAGTGCGCATTTATTTAAACTATAGTCTGAATCACCTGAAGTGTGTTATGAAGATTAAATTGAGGATTCCAGTGACTCATTTATAAATGTTTCCAGGGGATGCCAAAAAAAAAATTGGAGGGCTGTTTCCCACCAAAGAACAGAGGCCTGGCTTCTTGCCCAGAAGATATAGCCCATCTGCTGAGTCTGAGTGGACTCCATAATGCATCTTCATGGGGATGAAATATATAAGTATACTCCTCTTCTGGGAGAAGCCCAGACAGGACAGAGAAGTAGGAATGGACATATGGCAATAGTGAAAGTTTGTTTGGACACTTATATATGCTTTGAGTTGGTTATTTGCTTTAATAATTCCTAACATTTATAAATTGGAAAATTTTTCTAGAAAATTTTAAATTTTGGGATTATCTTTAAAATTTAGGGATTTTCCTACATACCAACAATCAACTGGAGTTGGTTTCTTCCCCCTTTAGTCAATGCAGATGATTTTCAATTTGACACAGGATCCAAACCCTCTATATTCTTTTTTCATCTGGCCTTCTCCAACTTATTTATGTTTCTTGCATGGCTCTTGTGGGTATTTGAGTATGATACTCCTGGTATAAGCAAACCTTAACAGTGTCATATGTTCTTAACAAAGTTCTTCAACCTCTGTAAATTTAGATGTCTTCTCTTGTAAAGAGTTGGCATTGAACTTTGTGACCTTTTGAGTTCTGCCAGCCAAGACTTCCAACTATCGGCTTCCATGTTTTCCAATTTTGAATAATTATAGATATTGGCAAATCAATTTCACCCAGCCACAATTCCAGTGACAGAAATCAGCCATAAAGTCAACTTAAGTGATGCTGCCTATGTGCAAAGTTCTTGCAGATCTTAACAGTCTAGAGCTAGAAACATCCTTGGGAAAAATGGTCCCAAACCCTTGTTTAAAATAATAGGAAAATAGTAATGTAAGCTTTACTAGGTGATGTGGCTAGTGAGTATCAGAATCTTACACAATGCCTGCACAAAGTTGCTGGTCAATGGCTATTTGTTCAATGGATGAATGGAAAGTAGGACCCAAACCTGAGTGTTCTGACTTTTAAACTAGTACTCCAGGCTGCTCCTAAATTTAAGCGATTGCAGAATCCCTCAGCCTTGGTCTGGTGACTCCAAGAGCTGACCTATAATTTCCATTCATTTTCAATAATATAGGAATATAGAGACAGAAGTAAGGCTAGAGAGAAGCACAGATCCACCATCACCTTTAAAAAAAAAATAAAGGAACTAATCAGCATATATGATCATGAGACTAGAAGAATTAGATGGTGCCTGGCTACCACCATCAACCACTCAGAGGGGGATCTGTGTAGGAGATGCTGGATTGAGTGGGAGAACAATGTGGAAAAAAACTTGAAATCATTAAAAAAAAAAAAAAAAAAAAAGGATCAGATTTGCTGGTCTGATAGAGCCTGGTGAAACCCCAGAGAATATAGCCCCTAGCTGCCCATCAGGTCTGGAACTGAACTCACTCCTGTGACTTCCAGCCAAATAAAAGACAGCATATGGGCTGAATATTTACATCAAGTAGGTACATTCCTTGGAGAGATCAATCGTGGGAGAAAAGAAGGGGAGTGTATGCATAGGGAGACCATGCCAGGCAGGAGTGCATGGGTGGGAAGGACACAGGGAAGAGATAACTACCATCAGAGTCTCTGTGGTGTAGTAAATTACCTGGTATGGCTTTTCTAGCCATAAGTCTTTGTAATGAGCTTTGTAATTTGCTATGAGCAACTGAGGAGCTCCTGATTGTAAAAATTATCCACCTGGGGTATTTCTATTGGGCATGGCGCAAAGCAATGTTCTGGGGAAGTTTGCTCTCTCTCATTTGCTTAGAATTCTAATGTTATGATTGGCTAGTTTGGCCACTCTGCCAGGCTCAAAAGGAGGCCTCCTAGAGGCAGAAGAGGTCTGACTGCTGGCTGAGAAGGACGTGCTGCTGAGAGAAACGCGCTCCTGAGAGATACATGCTGCTGGGAAAGAGACGCAAGAGACATGCATTGCGAAGAGAGATACCAAGGGACATGCACTGCTGGGAGACAGACCATGAGAGATTGTTGGCTGAGAGATGGTGGGCTGAGAGAGACCAAGCATTTTTCCTGAATTTGAATTGTGACCTGGTGCTTTCCTAATAAAATCCATAATCTGTGAGTTCTGTGTGCCCACTGCAGTGAATTATCAAACCCAACAGAAAGGTGGTGAGTGCTGTGGTTGGTGTCAGGGACAGTGAAAGGGCTGGAGAGAAGTAGCATGTCTGGCCTCGCAGGAATAGGCCTTGGGCTACTGATGGTGATTCTCTCTTCCTCTTGCGCAGTTAGAGGAGGTCAGAAGATGTGGCCTCCCTGCCCTTTTGGCAGTCTCTCTGGTCAGAGATCTGAACCTTAGAATCTCAGGCCCCATTCCTCCCAAAGGTTTGTCCTGATTCCACTGTGAAAGGCTAATTAATCTGAACCTGACCACAATTCAAGGTGCTTCTCAGAGGGCTGCATACATTTTATTCGAAGAGCTCGTCAAACCCCAGTGGCTACTTTCATGGTGGAATTTCAGCCAGTGTGATCATCTATGCAGGAGATGTTGGGGGTGCAATGAGCAGACCCTCTTGACCCTTCCAGAAGTCAGATCTGACATGGTCCTCTCACCCACTGGTCCTCTCCCACTACATGACTCACTGATGAGGGCTGTCACGATCTCCTCCATGCTTTCCAGGAAGCTGCTAAGGTGCTGAGTGAAGGGCAGGTGTGGGGAGGTGACCTGGGCCACCACAGCCGCAGCCTCAGCCCGTGTAGCCTCTGAGTGGCTGTCGTCAGTCAGGATGTCAGCCAAGCACAGAACACCATCCACCTGCAGAGAGAGAAAGGGAGCTTACCTGTGCATCCTAGGAAAGCACCACTGCCTATGAGAGTAATAACATAAAGACTCAAGTCCTCCCACCCCCAACATGGCCCAGTCTTGAATTTTCAAAATAGTCCCAGGACCTAGTGTGGAGGCAGGGACAACAAGATGACAATGCCCACAAAATGATCCAATGTCTGGTCCATGGAGGCCTGTCCTTTGACTACTGCAGAGAGCAGTGACCTCCCAATGTTTCCTGGTTAGAAGGCATCCAGCCAAGTGTCCAGGAGCTATACCCTGATCATCCACCACAGCAAAATGTAGTGGAAAGAATAGTCACTTAGAAATCTCACATCCTGAGCTTCAACCCTGGCTCCTTCTTGCTATGACTTGGCATTAGTCACTTAGCCTCTCTGAAACTATTTTCTCATCCGTCAGTGGGGTGTTGGGGGCTTGAAGGAGATAAAGCAGGCAATGGTTGTTCCAAAAGAAATGCTTAAGAAATGATGGTTCGCTCCTCCCTTCCTTGGACTTAACAGCATACTGCTGAGGTCAACATCTTTCCTTCCTCATCTTGTCTACCAACTCCCCCTTAAAAAAGGCATGCTTCCTGGGAGGCCTTGCTCTCTCAGCCCGACCCAAAAGAAGCAAACCTGTACATGGTGGGACATGAATGCCAGATACAGACTCCAGCTTCCCAGCTCTGCCCCACTTGCACTTGCTCCTGGAATCATAACTACTATTGTTGCTGGCTGTCATCAAATTGGCCCCTAACTTATGGCAACCACACACATAATGGAAAAAAACACTGACTGGTTCTGTGCCATCTGCTTGATCAGCTGCAGATCAGACCGACATGATCCGTAGGGTTTTCACTGGCTAATTTTTCGAAGTAGCTCACCAGGCTTTCTTTTTAGTCTCTCTTAGTCAGGAAGCTCTACTGAAATCTCTTCAGCATCATAGCACACTCGGTCCACCACTGATAGATACGTGGTGGTTGTGTATGAGGTGACTTGGCTGGGAATTGAACCAGAGTCTCCCACATGGGAGGCTAATTCTACCACTGAACCACAACTGCCCTCATATGGAATAATAAAAGCTTCTGCTTATCTTGTGCTTACGACGTGCCAGGCACCAATCAACACAACACAACGCAACACAACACACTGCCATCGAGTTGGATCCAACTCATAGTGACTCCTCCTTGGGTTTCCAAGGCAGTATTACTGTGGAAGTAGATTACCTAACCTTCCTTCTGAGGAGTGGCTGGTGGGTTTGAACTGCCAGCGTTCTAGTTAGCAGTCAAATCCCTTAGGCACCACTGTACATATATTATTATATTACTTAATTTTCAAATAACTATCTGAGGTCAGTATTACCATTATAACCATTTTATAGATGAGAAAACTAAAACAGAAAGATCAATGTGCTTGCTTCAGTTCATTAACTTCAGAACACTTAAACTTAAATGGTCTGGCTTCAAAGCCCATGGATTTGAGCATGTTATCATTCAGCCTCCAGACTAAGTCTCTATCAAGGGTCAGTAGATCAGACTTGTTTGGAGAAAAAGGGGTGGGATAGTTGTTTTGGCAGTAACTTGTCAAGGTTAGCTCAGCAGCACCCCAGACACCCCAGGACACTACCCAGCATGAGGACTGCCACCAAGTGCTAAGGAGCCTTTACCTGCTCAGCAATGGGAGGCAGGGATAGAACTGGAAAGAACCACAAACAGGTGAAGTGAGGAGAGGTCTGTCCAGATGCTCCCCACACCCACCACAGGCCTGAGGTACCTATCCCTATGCCCTTACTTCCTGCCACTCAGCTCCAGTGGCTCTCCAGAGACCTGTGTTTCCTTTGACTAATTATCAGCACTGAGTTCTGCGTGCTTCCCTTAAATGGCCCTTGGGAGCTGTAAGGTCCATTAGCTGCAAAAGCCTTTGGCAATCTCAGACTCAAAGGAGATAAATGTGGAAACAGGAGCCTGGGGAACTGTCTGCAATAAAACTCACCTGGATGTGCTTCATAAAAGGGAACAAACAGCAGCCAGGCAGCCCTGGCAGAACTGGACTCATGCCAGGTGTTTGACTAACAGGCCCTCAGAGATGGGCTTCACTTCATGTGGGCCCAGGGAAAGCAAGAGGGGCTGCTCTGGGCCTAGAAACAGGAAGGATCCCTATTGCCAACATTAGAAATCTCTTAAGCCCGTCTGGGCCTTCATCCTCTTTCCTCCTCCCAGCATTCACCAAGGCTGTTTGTTGCTAAGGAGTTACAGGATCCCTAATGGGGAAATGTCTCAATTAATTCAGTCTTCCTAATTTTACCTTCCACCACTCCTGTTTCACAGTTCGTCATACTCTGGTGCCTTGTGTGTTGCTATGATTCTGGAAGTGATGCTACCAGCATTTCACATACAGCAGGGTCACCCATGGTGAACAGGTTTCAATGGAGCTTCCACGCTAAGACAAACTAAAAAGAAAGGCCTAGTAATCTATTTCCAAAACTCAGCCAATGAAAATCCTGTGGATCACAATAGACTATTGTCCTGTTACCAGTGATCATGAAGATGGTGCAGGACTGAGCAGCATTTCCTTCTGCTGTACGTAGAGTCACCCTGAATAGGAGTTGACTCAATGGCAACAACAGTAATAGTCTTCTTGGATGAAGACAAGGTTGCTACCCTACTCCCTGACCCAGTTGAGAATGCTCCAAAAACAAATCCAAACTCACTGTCATCAAGTCAGTTCCGATTCATAGTGACCCCTCCTTGGGTTTCCAAGGTAGTATCTCTATGGAAGTAGGTTACCCAGTCTTCCTTCCAAGGAGTGGGTTTGAATCACCAGCCTTCTGGTTAGCAGTCAAATGCCTTAGGCATATGCTAGTCAGACTCAAACCATTATCCTTCCCTAGTCCCTGGCACATGCTCAGAGGTAGGCCAGTCTGAACTAGAGAAGCCCAGGGGTTCATGGTTCCAAAGGACCTGATGCCACCCAAGTCCTAGCCCATGCCCCAGACCTGCTCCCCAACTGAGAATGGTGCTCTGTAAACTCACCAAACATACAAACTATGTGTCAGGGCTTGTGGTGGAGCAGAAAGTATACAGAGGTGGGCCAGAAAAGATTCCCCTCACCACAGTGGGTAAGGTAATGCACACTCACAGATAATCATTATAATCATCAGGGGCTCAGAGGAGGCCATGGGACTCCCAACAGGATGCCCCATGGAAAGACCTCCTGGAAGCAGTCCCAACTTAGCCCATGTCCGTACCCCACGCGGGGAGAGGTACCCAGCGTGCAGCTCCCACATCATACCATAGAGCACACTAATGGGACGTGTTTAACCACTTGGATTCTGCTGCCCAGCTGCATCAACTTCACCTGTGTCCCCCACTCAGACCTACTCAATCAGAATTTCTGGCCAAAAAATCAAACTTACTGCTATTGAGTTGATTCAAACTCATAGTGCCCCTGTAGGACATAAAGCTGATTCCAACTCATAGTGACACCCACTGGGTTTCCAAGGCTGTAAATCTTTACAGAAGCAGACTGTTTCATCTTCCTTCTGTGGAGCATCTTGTGAGTTCAAACCATCATTTGGTTAGCTGCCAAATATCTTAACCACTACACCACCAGAGCTACACACACACACACACACACGAATACACAGCAAATATTTAAGGTATAAAAATAATAAAATGAACATCTATATGTATATATATCTATATCCTGCTTCTGAAATAAAAAAAAAATGAAACCAATCAAGCACCTTTCATACCTTCTTGATTTCATCCTTCTGTTCTCCCCTGTCAAATAGCCATTACCTAAATTTTCTGCTGATTATTCCTTGGTTTTCTTTAGAGTTTTGTTGCATGCATATATTGTTCACTTTTATATGGTTTTGAACTTGACACAAATGATATTGTACAGGAAACACTATGTTATATTTATTTTCACTATTGTGTAGTATTTTGTTGTATAACTCTATCACAGTAAATTCATGTATTCTCTTACTAATGTGCATTTGAGTTCATTCCCAGATTTTGCTATAATAAACAGAGATGCTATAAATATTCTTCTAAATGTCTTCTGGTGCACATGTGCCAGTTTCTCTAGAGGTCTCCATTTAGAAATGAAATTCCTAGGTCATAGAGTCTGCACATTTTTATCTTTACTGGTATTGTCAAAGTGCTTTGCAACATAGTCGTGGCAATTTATACTCCCACCTGCAGTATATAAACTCACTTAATTTCATGTCACTGCCAACATTTGGCATTTTCATATTTTTAAACTTTTGCCAATTTGATGAGTATAAAATTTTACTTTAATTTGCATATCTCCATTTACTAATGAGGTTGAGAGTCTTTTCGTGTTTCTTTTATTATTATTATTATTTGATTTGTTTTTGTATTTTGCCATTTGGATTTCCTCTTCTATAAGTTGCCTGTTCATGTAGGTTGCCCATTTTTTCCATGTAGTGATTTGTCATATAGGCCAATTTCCCTGGCTGTTGGCTTTGATGCTGCTGACATGTCATTTAGCCTGCTGCCGGCAAGCTACCATCAGCCCATGTTGATTAACATATCCAACACCATGTCAGCAGCTCCAACACAGCCCAACTCATCACAATAGGTGTCTGCTTAAGGGCCCTGCACCACAGGGGTCTGGACTTCCCAGTGCCTGAATCAATTCCTATCTTGTCACAACACGAAGAGAACACAGGCTTTGGAATCAGATCTACTTAAGTTGAAATTCTGCTTCTTTTACTTAAAAAAACAAACAAAAAACTCACTGCTGTCAAGTCAGGATCCAACTCACAGCAACCCCTCTTTGGGTTTCCAAGGCAGTATCACTATGGAAGTAGATTGCCCAATCTTCCTTCTGAGTATTGGCTGGTGAGTTTGAACCGCCAGACTTCTAGTTAGCAGTCAAATGCCTTAGGCACTATGCTACCAGAGCTCCTTACTAGCTGTACAATTTTTCTATCTATTTGGAGCCTTTATATTTAAAATGAGG